TGGCGGTCGTGGTGGATGATCTGCAGTTGCAACGTATTGGCGAGGCGTGGGAAGTTGCCAGGGAACTCAAGGGGGCCGAGGACCTCTTGGCGGCTGAGCTTTCGCAGATCGGCTTGACCCTCTCCCTGCCCAAGAAGCACCAGGTGGTCATCGGCCAAGGCATACGGAAGGTGTTCAGGAAAGTCAACCCGTCCTCGTCGAGGTTCCTCACACGCTCGGTTCGGAACCTGGGGCTGGACTTTGGCGGTGGAAATCGGCTTTCTCATTCGGTTCGTGCACAGCGGCTGGGCAGGATGGCGTCTCGGATCCCTCGGTATAAGCGGCTCGCGAAAGCTGGGGGCAAGACGATCAAACTGGTGCAGACTGGCCTCAAGCCTGGTATGCTCTGGGCAGTGGGAGTTCACGGCATCAGCAACACGCACCTGCTGAGGGCGAGGCAGCTGGCGCGCGCGGGCATGGTCTACAGGCACACGGGCAGGTCGCTCTCATTGGACCTCATGCTTGCTGGGCCGCAGGTCGACCCCGCCTTCGAGTGCAACAGGAGCCCGATCTTCCTCTGGCTGCAGGCGCTGTGGGACGGATGGGCCCCCAGAGCAGATATGGCGCGACTTCTGAGTGGAGCATGGGCACGCCTGTCTAGTGTTCCTGTGTCTCAAGTTTGGTCTGACATTCGCGGACCTGCTTCTGCGCTAGTTGCGACACTTTTGCGGTTGGGTTGGTCTGTATCTGACCCTTTTCATTGGAAGACCCACCGAGGTCCTCTCGCAATTGAACAGATTTCCCCGAAGGATGGAGGTAGGTTAGTTGATGAGGCCACCGAGCGGTGGGTGTGGCGACAGGTTCTCGCGAAGCATCCCTCGTGGGTCTCGCCCTGCCCTCATCCTCCTCTCGTGGAGCCCCTGAGGTCCCTCCTCCAGCCTCATTCTATCCGAGGCCCTGACTGGACCCCAAGGCATCAGGGTCTTCTGCGGTGCCTTTTTGCAGGAGGGTTCTGGTCGCAGGAGCGACTGTACGAGTCAGGTGGAGCCGTCAACCCGAGCTGCCTTGCCTGTCAGAGTGCTGGATCTACCTGGCACCGATTCTACGATTGCCCCCTGCATACTGAGTTTCGTCGGGATTACAGAGCTGGCAGTGCCATGGCTGGTCAAATGCTTGACATGGCTCGTGCTGCTGCGGTGGATACCTTGCTTTTCACGCGCTTTCTTGTCCCTGACCCTGCTTGGCTCTTCCCGAGCCCCTGCCTCGAGGAGCGAGTCGTGTGGACGGTGCGGTCTCCCGACTTGCTGCTCGATATGCACGTGTTCGGTGATGGGTCGGGGAGGCACGGACGTTTCTCTCGCTTACGGCGCTGCGGATGGGGACTCTGTTCGCTTGACGACAGCAAGCGAGTGGTTGCTCGCCTCCATGGCCCTCTGCCCTGTCTCATTCAATCTGTGCCAGCGGCTGAGCTTTTCAGTTTCTTGATGGCGCTGCGCTATATGGGAGCTCAGATGAAGTTTTATACGGATTGCAAGCCACTCGTGGATGTCTGGCGCCAAGGTGTTGGAGCAGGCGCCGCTGCGAGTGACCCGCTTGCCTTACTATGGAGGGAGGTTTGGAGGCTTGTGTCTGACCGTGGGGGTGAGTCGGTGGAGGTTTCTCACGTCAAAGCACATACTCCTGCCTCTGCCGTAGCAGAGGGACGGATTTCAGAATGGCAGAGGGTCGGCAATGCCCAAGCTGATCAGTCGGCTAAATGGGGTGCCGCCATGCATAGAGATTCCCTTCTGCTGCGTTCTGCGCATGGCGCGTCGCGCAGCGCCATCCGCCTAGTTGCTCAGTTCTGTACCAGGCTGGTCGCTCGGATCGGCACGATCACGCCACGGGACGCTCAAGCGCAAATACTCGGCCGTGCCATAGGCACGATTGAGGGGGGACTCGGTCCCCCGAAGCCGCACTCGCGCTTCGACCCTGCAGTGACGGTGGTTGCGCAAAGGTTCCGATGCATGGTGTGCCTTCGGTCAGCGAGGACACGCTCGGTGCTTCGCCAGCTTCGTTGTGACGACAGGACCAGCTCCCACGCACTTCACCGCGCGGGGCCCTTCCTGTTCTGCTCTCTGTGCGGGGCTTTTTCGGAAAAGAAGAGCCAGGGTCTTTCGCAGGATTGCTTGCCGATGAATCGTAGGCAGGGTGTCCTCGTGAGAGACTCGAGGTACTACAGGCTGCGCAACCTCATGCGAGGCTGCCATCCGCTTCGGTCCCGCGAGTTCGTGGGCCCTCCGATTTTGCTGCGGAAGCGCAGGCTGCTCGAGTCGGCCGAACTGCCGCCTCTGCCTGCTCTCTCTCCTTCGGTCGGGACTGGGAGTGGGGGGGTGGGGGTGGGGTGGACGGGGCAGGTGTGCTCGCCGCCGCCCGCTTTCCAGGCCGATCTGGCCTTGTGGGACGGCCTTGCTGGCTTTCCCATTGCCAGCGTAGAGGAGGACGACGGCGACCCATCCCACGGTGCGGGGGATCGGGTCGAATGCGTCCCCTGCGCTGGCTAGAGGTTTTTCAAACGAAGGCTGGTTCGCTTGCGGTCAGTCTCTATCAGCAAAAAGTCCCGCCCGCCTGGCTCGCCCGATAGGTTCCGTCCGCCCGTTCCGCCTGTCAGGGCCCGCCTGCACGGCCCGCCCTTCAGGGCCCGCCCTCTCCAACCAACCCGCCCGTGAGGGCCCGATCGATTGGAAACCCGACCCGCCCGCGCAGAGCTCCCGCCCATCAAGATCCGCCGCCCGACCCGCCCGTCAGGATTCGTCCGCTCGCTCGCCTGAAAGCTGTACGCCGCCTGCTTTAGTTCAGGAGGGGAAACAATACAGACAGAATTCATCGTCGATTCCCAGGATAATGTGGGAAAATCGGGGAAGTGGGGGGGAAGACAAAAGCCCAGACAAAAATCTGGAAAATATGGGGAATCCTGGGATTTGTGTGTATTTATTTGTGTGTCCCTGGGCCACCGACAACGACGACGACAACGACGACGACAACGACGACGACGACGTCGACGGCACCACCAGTGGCGGCGGCGACGACGTCGAGGACCAGAGCTCTCAACATTATGCCAATCCCAGCCGCACGCCGCACCCGCACCGCACCCACAGGGGGGGAGGGAGGGGGGGAGGAGGACCATGGCGTCACCCCGCACACACCCACAGCAACACACCACACCTACACCACATCCACAGGGGAGGGGGAGCCACCACGCCACGCCCACGCCCACAGGTGGGGGGGGGGCCATCGCGCGGGGGGGGGGGGGGCGATGGCATTAGCATTGGGGGGGGGGGGCCCAAACCCTCGACCATGCATGTTACGGGGCACGCTAGCAACTGAGAGCGAACAGCCTTACATTGATGTATGTGTTTTGGGCTGCCGTGTCAGAAGAGCAATCATTGTTCTCCCCCCCCATTGGTGACCATTTGTTGTTTGATCGAAGGGGCTCCCCGTAGCACGCACCGTGTTTCCTATCAGGGAGAATAGTCGGACTCAAGCTGTGCCCCTGAGCCCCTGGCCACAACAACACCAACGGCTCCCGCCTGCCACTTCCACAGCGTATTCAGGAGCCGCGCTCTCGCTCGAGATATTTTTGCACTTTTCTGAAGAATCGCGATCTCGTCTGGGAATTCCTCAGAAGGTATTCAGGAACCGCGCTGTCATTGCTCAGGGATCGACTTCTGCTAGGGACGGCTTCCTCACAATTTATGGATTAATCGCGGTCTCGCCAATTCAGAACTGCATTCTCGCACAGGATTTCCTTACAATAGTGTGTTGAGGGACACGCGCACAACGAAAAGCGAGTAGTCTTAACCTCATTCCTGCTGTTGAGGTCTTCTGGATAACGAATACGTATGCCCCCCCTGGCCTATGCTCATTGTGTTTTTCAAGCGAAGTGCCCCCCTTGGCTCTCACCCTGTCTTTCGCGTCTTGTGTCAGGGGAAGTCTTCAGGGCAACCTGTACAGTTTGGACCCTGGATGGAGTCTCACAATTCATTCAGGAATCATGCTCTCTCTCGAGACATCTGTGCAACTTATTCATGAATCGCGCTCTCGCGTTCTTGGCACTCCACTTAGGTGTCGCGCTCTCGTCGCGCCATCGCCTGGGACATCCTCGCAACTTATTCTGGAATCGCCTTCTCGTCTGAATATACAGATTGCTCAATAATGGTGCTCTCGCATTGGAGTTTCTGGCGATTTACTTGGGCATCGTGTTCTCGCCCTCAGGGAATCGCGCTCTCGCTTGGGACTTGTTTGCCACCATCTTCAGGGTCCGCCCGCCCGATCCGCCCGTTAGGGTCCGCCCGCCCGTCCTCCCCGTCAGGATCCGCTTGCCCTGCCGTCCTTCAGGGTCCGCCCCCTCGACCCGCCTTTTGGGGTCCGCCCATCCGACCCCCGACCTGCCTGCTTGAATGCCCTGCCTGCCTTACCTGCCCAGCCGTCCGCCCGATCGTTTACTTTGGGCAGGAAGACCGCCTGCCCGTTTTAATGTCCCGCGCGCCGGCCCCGTCTGTCAGGGTCCTCCCGCCCGACCCGCCCGTTGGGGTCTGCCCGCTCGACCCACTTGTCGCATCCTGTCATGTAAAGCCCAGGAGTTAGCATGGAACAGATATCCCCAAAGTTTCGCTCAGAGGGCGGGATTGCAGGGCTTGTGACGTACGTGCTGAGTGACGCGTGCCTTGCAGAGCGAACAGTCTTATTGATGTCGGTGTTGATGATGGTGAGGACGACGATGATGATGCTGACTTGGTGATGAGGAGGATGAGGAGGAGGAGGAGGAGGAGGATGAGGAGGAGGAGGAGGAGGAGGAGGAGCAGGAGGAGGAGGAGGAACTGGAGGAGGAAGAGGAGGAGGATGAGGAGGAGGAGGAGGAGGAGGAGGAGCAGGTGGCGGAGGAGGAGAAGGCGATGGAGAAGGCGGACGAGGCGGATCGGATGAGTCGGAGGCCGTTGGGAGGAGAACGGAGAAAGATGGGCCGCCGCAGGGCGGGGCAGGAGGCCCAGCGGGCTACCCGCCGCCGGGGCCGACGCCAGGTGGCTACCCGCCCTACCAGGGGGGCCACCCGCCGCCAGGCGAGCGGCGGCAGTGGCGTGGTTTGTCGGGGCGATGCTCCTCTGCGACCACGACGGGGTCCACTGCGATCCGATCGATCCGATTCCCCGTCGGTTCTGGCCGGCCCGATCCGATGCGACTGCGATTGTGTGCCGAGGCTGTCCGATCCGCACCTTTCGATCCGATCCGATTGCCCGATTTGAGGCTGACTGGTCCCGTCACGAGCGGGCCGTACCCCTGCGAGTCCAATCGACGTTGGGGTGTCGGACACTCCCGCTGGGGCTCACCTGGCTGCAGACATCCTTGCGACTCTGAACCCCCGCTGGCGTTGCAGAAATCTGACCTGCAGTGGTAGGGTCCACATGTGGATGTCTGATCCAGGCTTCAGGAGGGTCGAAGTATCGCGCTGGTGGTCTCACGCCATGTTTGTGCTCCAGGACGTCAAAACATGACCCAGAGCGATAAGCTGGCCCTGGGGAAGGGTTCGAGAGGTCTGGAAGACCATGTCAGCGGCGGCGACGACAGTGGCCAAGACGTCGGCGAAGATGCCGGCGACGGCGGCGGTGACGATGGTGGAGGCGACGACGGTGGTGATGACGACGACGACGATGGTTGCAATGGTTTTCATCTCCCCATCACTAGTAATGGATACGTGCGAGCTTTTCGCGTCCAACCTGATCGCATACACGAGCATTACGCGGCCCTCAGCATAGCACTCCGCACGCAACAAAAATAGAACTTCGGCGCTTAAGGCTGAACGCCGCCAGTGGCCCAGAATCGGCTCATATGGACGATCTGCCGATCGAGAAGCCGCCGAGTCGTGCAAGGTTGAACGATCCACGCGGTGTCAGAAACCAACGCGCAAATCGTCAAGACCCGAACCTGCCGTAATCGACCTCGCACTTCTTTTGCATTGGCTGGCCATAGCGCTATCGACAGACAAGGTCCGCGGCTCAGTCGGAACATGTTCGGACGGACAACACGATAAGGCACCCGTGACGTCCGATGCTTGCCCACCCTCTTCGACTGCGGCCTCGACTCGGTTCGCGCAGACAGTAATCAAAACACGAAGACGACGCTCAAGACGACTAAGTCAAGGGGGGCGAGTCAGGTTTGTTGTTGTTGTTGCTGTTGCTGTTGCTGTCGTTGTTGTTGTTGCTGCTGCTGCTGTTGTTGTTGTGGTTGTTGTTGTTGCTGTTGTTGTTGTCGTCATCGTCGTCGTCGTTGTCGTTGTCATTGTCGTTGTCGTTGTTGTTGTTGCTGCTGCTGTTGTTGTTGACGAGGACGTGATTCTGTCACCCTGGGAGGAGTTGCGGGGGGGGGGGTCGCAACCGCAACCGCGCAACGCTCGAGCGGGAGCGCCGGGGGGGGCGCAACAGGGCGGAGGGAAGCGCAACCAACGGCGCAATTGGGCGGGGGAGGGAGGGCGCAACAGGGGGCGGGGAAGGCGCATGCCATTCTGACATTGGGGGCGCACTGGGCACGCTCACTGCAAGCGTTCTGGGAGCTGATGACGACGAGGCGGATGACGACGAGGCGGATGACGACAAGGCGGACGAGGTGGAGCAAGAGGAGGAGGAGGAGGAGGAGGAGGAGGAGGAGGAGGAGGAGGAGGAGGAGGATGACGAGGAGGAGGAGGAGGAGGAGGAGGAGGAGAAGGAGGCAAAGGATGACCCTCACGTGTGAGACCTCGTACCTGCAGGCTTGGAAGGGTTGGGATGAGGATGCATAATCGTTTTTATGATGGCTGGGGCAATAGTAATGATGATGCCGCTGATCATGAGGATGGTGGTGATGACGGGGATGTTACATATGACAGTGCGTATGGTGTTGATGATGCTGGTCTTGGCACGGATAGCGCTGGGGATGATGGTGACGGTTGTGTTGATGGTTGTGGTGCTGATGGTGATCATGGTTGTGATGGTTGCGGTTAAGATAACGGGGACACCACGGGAGATGCGGGTGGGGGAATGTTCGTTGCTACGACGGTAGTCGCGGTTGACGTGATGAGGGTGATCAAGACGAGGAGGACGATTGGGTGACGGATGAGGATCGGGACGCTCATTGTGGAATGCCATCTCATGGGACACATTTGATCTCAAGACTTGGGGGGCGTAATGAGGATGTCGAGGGTCATGATGACGATGACGATGACGATGACAATGACGATGACGATGCTGATGACGATGACGATGACGATGCTGATGATGATGACGATGACGATGACGATGACGATGCTGATGACGAGGATGATGACGATGACGATGCCGATGACGATGACGATGGCGATGCTGATGACGATGGCGATGTCGATGATGTTGACGATGTTGATGCTGATGACGACGATGACGATGACGATGACGATCATGATGACGATGACGATGACGCTGGTGATGACGGTGATGATGATAATGACGATGACGATGACGATCATGATGATGCTGATGATGATGATGATGATGATGATGTTGATGATGCTGTTGATGATGATGATGGTGATGATGATGTTAATGATGATGACGCAGCTCTACTAGGATTCTAGTAGAGCTGGACGCAGCTCTACTAGGATTCTAGTAGAACTGGGCGCAGCTCGGATAGGATTTAATTCTGTACGCTTCGCGTATCCCCACCAGCCCATCTCACAACAGCAACTCTTGCGAAGCATGCCGACAGTCGTGTTTTTTCAGGCGTGTGTCCGCTTGGCCCCGCATATCTCCCCTGTTCCTCCTTCCTCCTTCCTCCTTGTACATCCTCCTTGTGGTGGGAGCGGGAGAAGGACGAGGCGGAGGAGGAGGGAGAGAAAGCGCTCCTCGTGGTTTGAGTCGTTTGGGGTTTCTCGTCCTGGTGTGAGTCGTTCGGGCCCTTCTTCCTGGTGTGAGTCGTTCGGGCTCTTCGTGGTGTGAGTCGTTCGGGCTCTTCGTCCTGGTGTGAGTCGTTCGGGCTTCTCGTGGTGTGAGTTGTTCGGGCCCCTCGTCCTGGTGTGAGTCGTTCGGGCCCCTCCTCCTGGTGTGACTCGTTCGGGCTCCTCGTGGTGTGAGTCGTTCGGGGCCCTCGTCGTGGTGTGAGTCGTTCGGGCTCCTCGTGGTGTGAGTCGTTCGGGCGCCTCGTCCTGGTGTGAGTCGTTCGGGCCCCTCCTTCTGGTGTGAGTCGTTCGGGCTCTTCGTGGTGTGAGTCGTTCGGGCCCCTCGTCCTGGTGTGAGTCGTTCGGGCTCCTCGTGGCGTGAGGCGTTCGGGCACCTCGTCCCCTTTTGGGGCGTCTTGGGGGCCTCTTGGCGGCCCCAGGGGCTTTAGGAGCGTCTTGGGTGCCTTGGGGGAGCCTCTTCGGGCCTCTTGGGAGCCTCTTGGAGGCCGTTTGGGGCGTCTTGGGGGCCTCTTGGCGGCCCCAGGGGCTTCCAGGAGCGCCTTGGGTGCCTCGGGGGAGCCTCTTGGGGCCTCTTGGGGACCTCTTGGGGGCATCTTGGGGGCCTCTTGGAGGCCTCTTGGGGGCCTCCTGGGGACCCCTTGGGGCCATCTTGGGGCCTCTTGGTGCCTCCTGGGCGCTTCTTGGGGCCATCTTGGAGGGAATGGATCAAAGAAGAGGGGAGCTTTAATGAGCGCTGCCCCCTCAGAAGGGCAAAATGAGCCCACAACCTTAGTAAAATCAATAATTTTGCCTTGAAGGAGGGGAGCTTTCATGAGCGCTGCCCCCATCAGAAGGCCAAAATGGGGCCAAAAACGTAGTAAAATCAATGATTTTGGCTTCACAGAAGAGGAGAGGGTTTTTTCTCCCTCCCCCCGTCGGGGCCAGAATCCTCGTGAGGGGTGTCGTTTTTTAGCCCTCCCAGGAGTCGAAGAAGACCCCTCCAACGACCCGCGAGGCGCCCTCTCCAGGCCCAGGGGGATGGGGTAGGGGGAGGGGTAAACCCCTCCCCGAAGGGGAAGAAGGGGGGGTGAGAACAGAGCGGGCTCTCTAAACCACTCACGCCCAAAGGGCTGGTGGGATTAGGGCTGGACGCAGCTCCACTAGGATTATATGAGATGATGGCGCAGTTCTAGCAGGATTCTATTAAAACTGGACGCAGCTCGAGTAGGATTCTATTAGAGCTGGACGCAGCTCGAGTAGGATTCTATGAGAGCTGAACGCAGCTCTAGTAGGATTCTATCCGAGCTGGGCGCAGCTCTAACGGGATTCTAGTAGAGCTGGACGCAGCCCTACTAGGATTCTATTAGAGCTGGACGCAGCTCTACCAGGATTCTATGAGATGTTGGCGCAGTTCTAGCAGGATTCTGTTCAAGCTGGACGCAGCTCTAGTAGGATTCTATTAGAGCTCGACGTAGCTCTAGTAAGAGTCTATTTCAGAGCCCCGAATCATCAGGGGTAACTCGGGTCAGGGATAACTCGGGTTCGTTTTTCGGGAATCCGAACCCGAGTTACCCCGGACCCGAGTTACCCCGGATAACTCGGGCGTCCAGAGCCCCGAATCATCAGGGGTAACTCGGGTCAGGGATAACTCGGGTTCGTTTTTCGGGAACCCAAACCCGAGTTACCCCGGACCCGAGTTACCCCGGATAACTCGGGCGCCCAACTATTAGAGCTGTACGCAGCTCTAGTAGGATTCCATTAAAAGCTTGACGCAGCTCGATGAGGATTCTATGAGAGCTGGACGCAGCCCTAGTAGGATTCTATAGGAACTGGGCGCAGCTCTAGTAGGATTCGATGAGAGCTGGACGCAGCTCTAGTAGGGTTCTATCCGAACTGGACGCAGCTCGATTAGGATTCGATTAGAGCTGGACGCAGCTCTGGCAGGATTCGATTAAAGCTGGACGCAGCTCTAGTAGGATTCTAGTAGAGCTGGACGCAGCTCTAGTAGGATTCTACATGAGCTTGAAGCAACTCTAGTAGGATTCAATCAGAGCTGGACGCAGCTCTAGTAGGATTCTATGAGAGCTGGACGCAGCTCGATGAGGATTTTATTTGAGCTGGACGCAGCTCTAGTAGGATTCTAGTAGAGCTGGACGCAGCTCTAGCAGGATTCTATTAGAGCTGGACGCAGCTCGAGTAGGATTCTAGTAGAGCTGGACGCAGCTCTAGCAGGATTCTAATAGAGCTGGACGCAGCAGTAGTAGGATTCTATGATAACTGGAAGCAGCTCTAGTAGGATTCTAGTAGAGCTGGACGCGGCCCTACTAGGAATCTGGTAGAGCTGGACGTAGTAGGATTCTATTCGAGCTGGATGCAGCTCGAGTAGGTTTCTAGTAGAGCTGGACGCAGCTCGAGTAGGATTCTATTAGAGCTGGACGCAGCTCGAGTAGGATTCTATGATAACTGGACGCAGCTCCTTAGTAGGATTCAATCCGAGCTGGACGCAGCTCTAATAGTATTCTAGTGGAGCTGGACGCAGCTCGATTAATATTCTATTAGAGCGGGACGCAACTCTACCAGGATTATATGAGATGTTGGCGCAGTTCTAGCAGGATTCTATTAGAGCTGGACGCAACTGTATCAGGATTCTAGTAGAGCTGGATGCAGGCCTCTACTAGAACTGGGCGCAGCTCTAGTAGGATTCGATGAGAGCTGGACAACGCCCTAACAGGATTCCATTAAAACTTGACACAGCTCTAGTAGGATTCTGTGAGAGCTGAACGCAGCTCGAGTAGGATTCTATGAGAGCTGGACGCAGCTCTACTCGATTTCGGATAGGTTTGCTGTGGGAGCTCGCTTCGCTGGCGCGTACATCCATGTTCTGTTGAGAACTGAGCTGGGAACTCTAATAGGAAATTCTTATTGGTTCATGTCCATCAGCTTGTGGTAGTGCTGGTTGCGCGGTTGCGGTTGCGAGCCCCCGCCCCCTTCGCAACTGGGGACCAAGGTACCAAAAACCCGTCTTCGCCAGCAGGGGAGGCCTGGGATCTGGTACGCTTCCCCCCAGGGTACCAGAAACCCGGCCTCGCCTTCTTGTTGTTGTTGTTGTTGCTGCTGCTGCTGCTGTTTGTAATGGGAACACTGCATGTTACCGAACGTTTATTCATACGCGTTTAGCGGGCAGCCTTTCAATATGAATATGGGGATGATTGGTGGACAGTTGGTGCGGAGCGTGTGCCATTATTTTTGCCGCTATTGGTAGCCGCTAGTTTCAGCTAATTGGCGCTATTTGCCGCGGACACGCCAACATCATGACTAAGATAGGCAAGACGAACGTAAGTCCAGCAGTTGGCCGTTGAGTGCTGGCCCCTGGAGGCTGCCCGCAGCACCCTGGTGCCAGCCCCCCAGCGCAGGGAGGGCGGGGGGGAGGCACCTGGTCTGGCGCGGCGTTGGGCGGCCAGGGCGTGCATGCCAGGTATTAGTTATGGCTCTCGGAGCAGTATGGAGGAGGAGGAGGAGGAGGAGGAGGAGGAGGAGGAGGAGGAGGAGGAGGAGGAGGAAAAGGAGGAGGAGGTGGGAGGAGGAGGAGGAGGGGGAGGAGGAGGGGGAGGAGGAGGGGGGGGCAGGTGGATGAGGACACGACGTGAACCCACCGTAGGAAAACGCTCTTCCTTCTCTTCTTCTTCCTCTTCCTCCTTCTCCCCAGCATTATTGCGGAAAGCAAGTGAGCGCAACATGCACCAGCCATGCACCAGCGTGATTTTCTGGGGAACTGCGCAGTCCACGGCCAAGGGCGGCGACGCCCTCCTCGTCCTCGTCCTCGTCCTCGCTCCCCGCTTTCGCACCCGCCTCCCCCTCCCCGTCGGGAGAAGCGCAGCAGAAAGGTTGGAGAGGGCCGGGGGGGTGGGGGTACGCTCTGGCCAGCACTCCAAGACGCTTCTGGCCGTGGCCACGAGGAGCCTCCCACAGGCCCGGCACCGTTCGAGAGCAGCCAGATCCCCGATCTCCGCCCACCAACTCTGTGTTCTTCTTCTTTTTCGAGGTGTCTCGGAGGGGGATGAGAAAAGTCCTGAAAGCAGCTGCAGATGATAGTGCCACACATTCAGGCGATCGTAAACATGGATTAACGGGGCGTGGAATAGCGACGGGTCCCGTTTCCATTGGAAGTCGCGGTTTTCTGCCGCCGAACGAGGCGGCACGGCCGCATTTTGGGGAGGGCATCTTCCCCGATCCATGGATTTGGCGACCGCGCGCCAAATCCATGGATCGCTAATCCATGTTTGCGCGCCCTCGGGTGTCTCGGAGGGGGATGAGAAAAGTCCTCAAAGCAGCTGCAGACGATAGTGCCACACATGCAATACTGTGAAGAGGGATCTCTTCTCAGCAGTGCTCCATCAGGGCCTTGCCTTCAACCCCTGAAGTGACCTCGTTGAAGTCTAAGCGTGCTTAGCGCACCATGTCTGGAAACAACCTGAGCCTAGATGGTAACGGACTCGGATGTTTTTGCAACTCTGCTCCTACTCTGACGTTGCTTCAGTGTTCCTCCTGGGGGCCGTGGGCGGTAACTCAGGATGGGAGCACATACACATACACAATTAATCGACGACTTCCAGGAAAATATGGGACAATATGGGAAGTGGGGGGGAAGACGAAAACCCAGGAAATATAGGGAACTATGGGGAATCCTGGGAAGTGTGTGTATTGTGAAGGCCTGACGGCCGGTGCCGCCGACCCTGAAAGACATCGACGACGACCAGGGGGGGAGGAGGAGGAGAAGGAGGAGCAGGAGGAGGAGGAGGAGGAGGAGGAGGAGGAGGAGGAGGAGGAGGAGGAGGAGGTTGAGATAAGGAGGAGGTGGAGGAGAAGGAGGAGGAAAAGGACTCCCCTCTGGGACACTCCCCCTGGGGAGGAGGACCGGAGGAGGACCAGCGTGGGAGAGGGGAGGGGAGGGGGAGGAGGACACCCAGGGACGGATGCGTATCTGACTCCCCTCCCCCCCCCGGGACTCCTCCCCGCCTGGGGAGGACCCGAGGAGGACCGGCGCGCCAGAGAAGGACCAGCCTGGGAGAGGAGGACCCCCAGAGGCGATGCGATTT